TTTTTTTAAGGCACTGTAGGGTTCACGAAGCACTGCTGGGGGTGGGAAGCCATGGAGGGACATGACAGAACCATGTTTCAAGGGGATCTGTTGGTGCCTACTCAGGGCTCCAGGGCCAGCTTCAGGGAGGATGTAGAGAGCCCTGGGAGGGCTGGCTGCTTTGTAAATCTGCACTGCTCTCCCCGTGGAAGTGATGATTATCGTGGTTATTTTTAACATATTCATGACAAAGGAGGCTGAGGGGGCTGGACTGTGTGGAGTCTGGGGGGCAGGGTCTGCAGAGCATGGTGGAGCAGGTGCCTACCGTCCTGCTCAGATGGCAGAGAGCCCCTGTGCCCACCCAGCCTGCCGGTGCAAGGGGGGAACAAGAGTGGCCCCTGGGTGATTGGGGTGGAGGAACCCTCAGGGATATCTGGCCCATGTCTGCTGAATGCCTGTCTTGTGTCTGGCTGCTCAGAGCTGGGCCCTCTGTGCAAGAGGAGTGAGGGAGATTGATACCCTCCCTTAGTGCCCACAAGAGGGATGAGCCTAGGTTACTCTCAGCCGCAGTGGAAGACAATCTAGGGTCTCAGCCACAGGAGAAGGGGCCAGCATACCAGAACCCCTGTGTGGTCAGCCTGGGAAGGCTTCCTGGAGGAGGCAGTATTTGACACGTAGAAGATTTTGGCAGATGGAGGTAGAGGAGGGCATTGCAAGGGGGAGGGAACACCAATCTCAGGGAGGAAAGCAGGTGGATAACAAGAGAGGGGGCAGTCCCTTTGCACAGAGAGCTTATTGTATTCCAGGCGGTCCATATCTCTTGTTTCATTTAATTCTGAACCTGTGGTAGGACGTGTCCTCTTTATTTTCAGTTGAAGATTTTTTAAGCTCAGAGAGGTGAGGCGACTTGCCCAAGGGCACACAGCAAGACTGGCAGAATTGAGAATCAAATCTGCTTCTGTCTCTGGTTCTCTAATCCATGTCCTTCCCACTGGTCCACATGACCTTGCAGTGTGCTTGGCTGCCCGGTGGGGAGAGGAAAACAGGACTGGACAGGGCATCAGAGGCCGGCACATGCCAGGCTCAGAGGCTTACACTGGTAGCAGTGGGGAGCCACTGAAGGCTCCTCAGCAGGGGAGTTCGTGCGCTTTGCGCTGGGCTCCCAGGGGATCACTTTGGAGGCTGCAGAAGAGAATCAGGCTCACCTGGGGGAGGGGGGCAGTGGGGGAGTGGATGTGCAAAGGAACAATAAGAAGGTGGCGTGGAAACAGGATAACGGTAGCAAGTGTGAGGGGCTTTGGCGGGATGAGGGAGTGACTCAGGGTCCTATGGGAATTAAGAAAGCCATCTCTCAGGAGGCTCCAACTGCATTTTGTTAGAGCCAGCGCAGCTCAGTAGAAAGAGCACGGCTCCAGAGGAGTCAGGCAAGCCTGGCTTCGAATGCCACGCAGCCTGTCTCCAGCGTGCGACCCTGGAGCCTCCTTCCTCATCAGTAACATGGGAGAACCCATCCTCCTTGGGATTAAACGAGGTGCACGGTGACTGGCAATAGCGGGTTGTGTAGTGAGTGTTACCTCATTCAAAACAAAACGGAACAGGGAGGAGGTCCTCAGGGGTAGAGCAGGGTAGCGTGTCCCGGGGAAGCGGGTCCGTCCACACCAGGGCGGGCTCGCAGGTGGGAAGGCCTATAGATTGCAGAACTTGTGAGGATCCGGGTCCTACAAGCTGCCTTTTCCTGGACCCCTTCTTGTCCTGTTGGCTCGGCTGCCTCTTAGACTCCCCCAGCTGTGGGCCCAGAGCTGGCTGTGGCCTGCCTCATGGCATATGCTGAGCTGAAACATTGTTTGAGTGGGTGACCCCCCTGGTGTTCCTCCCTTTCGGGTAGAACTAGCTTTCACACGTGGGGGAAATAGACTGCCAGCCCCCCTTCTGAGGGGGTACAAGGGAGGGCAGTCAGTGCAGGCCCCTGCTGGGTAGCCTCGGGCTTGTTCCCTCCCCTCTCTGGCCCAGCCTGGGAGGCCGGGAGAGGGACTCAAGAGCTGGGCCTGGGACACGTTCTGATTTTCAAATAGGGTGGATCCTAGAAACCACCTCCATCACCTCTGGTTGTGTCGTGGGGGCTGGCCCGCAAAGTGCTGGTGCACGGTTTGTAGAGGATGTGGGGACCACGGGAAGCAGCGAGGGGGTCAGACTGCTGTCTCGCATGTCCGTGTTTCCTGACCTTACCGGACGCCAGGCTGGTGGATGCCACAGACACGATGATGGTCAAGACGCCAAAGCAGGAACCGGATGACGGGATCCTCAGCTGGATTTGTGATAGGTCGAACAGCATCTGCAGAATGTTTATTAAGAAATGGGTGTCAGGCCCGGGGCTGCTGTAGGTGGAGGGCTGCTGGGCAAAGTCGCTACTCAGGATGACAAGTGCTAATTCCCAGTGACCCCCGTGGGGTGGCAGGGAAAGCTAGGAGCAGTGTGTTCATTGCTGTTTGCTGGTGTTCCTCTGGGCCGGTGTTCACTGGGGTCGGGGAGATGGCGTGCACAGCCTGCCTTCAAAGGGCCAATGGGCGCGAGGAGGTTCAGATGGTCGGAAGATGGCATCCTCTGGGACGACAGGGCACACAGAGGAGGGGACAGCCACTTCTGCCTGAGGAGTGGGGGATGAGGAAGACCCCCCCAAATGAGAAGCCATGTGAGGTGGATTTTGAAAATCAGGTAGGAGTTTCCCAGGTGAAGGAGGTGATGAACGAGCAGGTGGAGATTCGAGAAGAAGGGGTAATCTTGTCTTAGGCGTGCTGAATTTGAGGGCCCCTCGTCAGTAGACCTGTCCAGAAGGCAGGAGGCCACCCAGGAGTGAAGCCCCGAGTGGGGCGCTGGGGGTAATGACTCTGGAGCAGCCACAGAGGGGCTACTTGAACCTTGGGGAGGGGAGTGTGGAGCGAAGCGTGGAGGCCCGATAGGGGAAGGGGCAGGAAGACAGACCAGTCAAGGAGACTGGGACAGAGGAGCCAGACAGGTAGGAGGAAACCTGGAGAGCCAGGGAGGGGAGTGTTTCAAGGCAGGAACAGTCAGCAGGGCCCCGTGCTACCCAGGGGTCAAGTGGGACAAAGCTGCAGAGTGTCCGTAGGATTTAGTGATAAGGAGGGCGTTGATGACTTTGTCAAGAACGGTTTCAGCAGTAAGATGTGGTCAGAAGCCAGACTGCAGTGGATTACCAGGCGAGGTGACATTTGAGCCAGGATGTGAGTGGCAGGTGAGAAACTAGAGTGCCAGCTGTGGACCACTTAGTGCTGGGGAGGAGGAGGCTGAGGGCAGTGGCTGGAGGAGGAAGGAGGTTCAAAGAGGGGCTCCCCCCAGAATGGAGGTCCATTCTTGGGACCTGTGCCGACCAAATGCTGAGCCAGAGGGTTAACGGATGGCTCAAATGGAGCCCTCCTGGAAGTGGCAGGGGGCAGGGGGGAGTAGATGCAGGGCTGGGCCTGCGAGTAGATGCAGGGAATTTGGGAGTTGGAGGGGTGGGGCAAGAAGTGTGTGTGTGTGTGGGGGATCCTACGCTGCTTTCTTTATAGAGGAGCTCATTGCAG